CTCCCAGACTATTTTCTAAATCTGTGCCAAATTTAATCGAGATCTGTTAAGCCGTTTTGGAGATACGTAGAAAAATACATCTATCCATCCAAATTTTCGTATTTATAATATTAGTATGACGACTTTGGACAGATGGAAATTTAATACGAATGACTTAAAACTCTAATGTAATATACAAAATAAGTTGTTACTCCATCACACCTAACCCATTCAGTGCTACCATCTAAAACTTGCAAATGCAAATGAGCATTGAACGTGTTATAATTTGCAGACTCTACTGGAGCACGGCGCCAACATAAACAGTAAAGACGCGGAGGGCAAGACACCTTTACATATAGCTATAGAGAACCAGCACGCGGGCATCATCTCCCTGCTGCTGTCTCAGCCCGGCATCGATCTCTCCGCCAGAGACAACAAGGGCGTGTCTCCCTTTGCCGCCGCCCTCACAGCCAGGAACAACAAGGCGGCACAAGCTATACTCGAGAAGAATCCTTCAGCTGCAGAACAGGTAACGTTTGATTAAAAATATGACAATTTAAAAAAGAAAACAAATAAATTATTCCTAAGACATGATTATTTGTCGTAACACTTTCGTGGCGAATTCATTTTAATACGGAAAAAGTAGCAGTGGCATTGTATGTGCTAAAATTAAAATTAATTTACGCTTTTTCTACTACTTTTAGTTAAAGCCATTGTTGTATAGGGGTCTTGGCTTGGTCCAGGAATTACTTCTACGTCGGTCTATGCGTGACAGTAATCAAATTTTCGTCTACCTTTTAGTGTATAGATTTATGTGTTCTCACCACCGGTGTTAGGGTAGGGTACGGTTGATCGATCGCCCAGGGCGCTGGACAGAAAGGGGCGCCAATAGAGTCTCAAGTAACTTTATTTCCCGCAAGGGGGCGCCGTAGTACTCTCGCCCAGGGCGCTAGTAGCACTAAAACCGGCTCCGATTGTACTTGTTATAGGTAGACAAGAAGGGTCGCAACTTCTTGCACGTGGCGATCCAGGCGTGCGACGTTGAGAGCGTCATGTTCCTGCTGTCGGTGGAGGTAGACGTGAACTCGCGTGTGCAGGATGGCCGCCTCACCCCGCCGCTGCATCTCGCAGCTGCAGCCGGCAACGAGCTGCTGCTGCGTAGTCTGCTGCTCGCAGGCGCTAGACCTAACGATAGAGACGCTGAAAAGTACCTAACATATGTTCTTACTAACTTATTTAGCCCTAGTAGTCAATAGGCATAAGTAAAACTAGATTATAATTCATCAATAAAATAGTGTTAGAAGACTGTAGCTGCAATACAAATAGATATGTACTATCGGGCAATTTTTCGGTGTATCCCCCAAAAGCGACAGTTGTTTAATGGTTTTTTACATGTTAAGATAACGATAAAAAGACTGTTCAGTAGTATACAACTATTGTGATTGTACAATTCACAACCATTTAATTAGCTATTGTAAGAAGGGTGAAGTTAATCTCATTTTGTGTAAGTGGAACACCGCGAAATACCCTAACTGTACACAAGTATTGCCAGCAGTATGCAGTAAGATGAAGTTGTGACAGACGTACAGCGCTGCACGTGGCGGCGGCGGGCGGGCACGCGGCCATCGTGTCAGCACTACTGAGCGGGGGCGCGGAGTGCGGGGCGGCGGACGCGCGGGGTGACAACGCACTGCACGTGGCCGCACGCGAGGGACACGCAGCCGCCGCGCGCGCCTTACTCGCCGACTCTGATATTGACGCCGCAGCTACTAATCTTAAAGGTAACGCGACCTGTGACGTCATAAGTGTACGTAGCTCAAGACTATCACTTTCATTATACTGATAAACAATTACGTCATACACACTATTGTTGACATTTCGTTTTTTTTATATATCAAGGTGGCAAACGAGCGATCGGCCACCTGATATGTATTAAGTACCACTAATATGTATTAAGTATCTAAATAACAGTATATCTTATTATACATACTATAAGAGAAGACGTTACCTCGGTGTCGGCATATGGAGGTTATTCTTGTGGACAATAACGTAGGAGTTAGGCTAGATGGAGTCGTACTGAAGCTCAAGGAAATAGTGACGGCTGTCTCTAGTACTTTACTTTTAGTAAAAATGTTTTTATGAAATAAATTGAATTGATTGCGGTAAAAATGGCCACAAATTTATTTATTTCATAAACATAAATAATTTTATCAAATAAAACATTTTTCGCAGGTCGCAACCCACTACACGAATTATGCTGGTGCAAAAAGGACAACGCGGCGACAATTTGCGAGATATTCTTAGAATTTATGCCTGACTATCCTATCAACAAAACTGATTTACAGGTGAACTACCGGACTAAAATAAATATGCACTTATACTAATGACATTTAAAGTGTAATATGACATATTTAATGTAACAGGGTAATACGCCATTACTCCTAGCGTATATGAACGGGCAAGCAGCCATGTGCAGGGTGTTAGTCCGAGCCGGAGCTTGTCTAGCACAAGAGAACAAGGATGGTCTCTCCATTTTTAATTATCAGGTAATATTACTAAAATATATGTTTTAAAATTGCCATTTCTTTACAATTGTATGCTGCCTTAAATTTTAAAAATAAGGCCATGGCCTAGGCTAATTCCATGTAGGGTCAAATTTGATACAAACTGTAACCATAAGAGATATAGTTTCGTTAATATGTTCTTATGACCCAATTACATAATCAGCGTCAAGAATGCAGCGTCCATTTCACAAAAATGAGTAAGCTACAAAAACCTTCACTGTACAGTCAGGTGCATAAATTTGTATACACACAGCAGTGCGTATTCTTCCGACCATGGTAACATGTTATTGACAAATTCGTATATACCTATTTTTGAATCCTATACTTTTAAAGTTTTATAGGTGTATACACATTTATGACGCTGACTGTACTCATACCTTAGTCTTGTAGTTATTTGTGAAATGATCATTGTTATACAGGTGGCTACAAAACAACTTCTGCATCGGTTACTTGACGCGCTGCCGTCTGAAGCGCCCTGGGCTGAGAGCGACCTGTGTCAGGAGTGCGGCACTAAGTTCACGCTCACCATGAGAAAACATCACTGGTAAGAGAAATTAAATGATTGTAACACTGTGCAAAGAAACAAAAATATTGTCTATGGTATATTGGAATCCGCATAGATTATAAAATAGCAACCTTGAAAATCAATTGAAGAAGCCAGAGATTAGCGTGGGACCGTCTCAAATGGAGGTCTTTGGGTTCTGACTTCCCCTCTGGGTTACGGGCGTGAAGTCATATTGTTGAAAAAAAAGTAATTTAAGTCATCTCAAAAATGGCCAAAAGCCTCAAAGCCGTATACATAAAAAAATACCATCGATCTAGCTCTATTAATCAGTATTGCCATGTGAAAACTTTTAATTTCTACACTTGATTGTCGTTTTAATTATGTTTTTAATGTATTTACTAAAATGATTTCCTCTAGTCGACACTGCGGTCGGATGCTGTGCAATAAATGTTCCAACCAGGACGTGCCCATACTGAAGTTTGGTCTGAACAAGAGTCAACGAGTCTGTGAGATTTGTTTCAACGTACTGCAAGTGGGAGCCAGTTAGTGTCACTACGTCACAGAACAATGACGCTATTGTCATCCCTTACATTATCTTTGACTAAACAGAGATAGCAATACGACATGCCAGTCGGTTAATGTTATGCGATTTTGTACCAGAATCATTTAGTTGTGACACATACCAAAGGTAAAGAAAAATGAAAATATAAAGAACTGTGAAGGCGGATATACACTAGAGACAATCTCAAGACCAACACACACTGGGCCAAGGTAGACTATGGCCTAGTCACCTTTAACTTAGGGTAGGCTCCGAGCTACTCAGTAGGGACAAATAGTGAGCTAATGATGATTTTCTCAAGCATTTCTATATAATGTAACATTCATATAAATGGTATATGTATTATATGATAAAATCAGTTTCCAAAGCATGTGTGGTGGTGAAAGTGGTTCACATTAGAACATGTAGTGGCTCGTTGTTCTCTTAATAAATGCTCTAATCTATCCTCACCTTTATAATCTGTTTCAAATGTAGACTAAACTTTGTAAACTAATATATGTTATATAAAAAATCTGCTAATATAATATTTTTAACTTTTCTTTCTTTTGATTTTTTTTTTTTTTTTTTGAAATTGTGTAACAGTGGAGAGAAATTTTATTATAAAAGAAGATTGTCAAATTATACATAGTATAGGCAAATATAATTTTTTTTTTCATAAATATGTATTTAAAATTTAGAGTAAAAGATGGCGCGTATATTTTGTATACAATGTTTTAGTTTTTATTTGGAACAGAGTATATTCCTTGTCATATTGATAAATCTATGATAATATAATTGGTATGTGTCACATCAAATGGCTTTTTTAGATTGTAATTATTGACTTTTCTATGTCAGTAAGTTAATGTAATTCTGACTATAAGTAATATGTTTTATTATACTCCTACATTAAGTTATTGCTTTGTCACAAAAAAAGCTTATGTTCTTACGAAACCTATATTTATGGATATTGTTTAATACGCCAAAGTAATGTGCTTTTTGTTCTCTTAAGTAGGTTTAAGTGTTCATAATGTTTACGGAGAATTATAATTGTTTAAAACAAGGCTTTTAGAATTTAAAAAAATATTTATTATGAAGAATTTTTAAATTAATTTCCCAGTGTTGCTAGAATGATAAACTGATTTTATCATTTATGGTTAAAAAATTGTAAAAATTCTTTGTATAAATCTTAATTAAATAATTAAGATTTATTCATTTATTTTCGAAATGTTTCAACATCTTCAGTCTGTGATGTGTTTTAACTTGTGGTTTTATAAAATTGTGATTCAACATTCCGAATGTATTGTATAATTTTGAACAAAATATTTTTATTTGCTGCAATAAAATATTCTTATGTACTTTTCTGTTAACATGTCATGCCTTAGTATATTGAAATTAAAAAAAATAAAACTGCAGATAAAATTAATAGATTTATTTACAGAAAAATGCTACATTTAAATTGATCTAATAAACATTAAAAAAAAACAGGAATCTACTGCCAACATAATTTGCAAGGTGTTAAATAATAAATATATTTTTGGGCAACACGGTACATCTAACAATAAATTACTTAAGCCTTTTGAAGAGGTCTTTGTTGACGCACTTATCGAGTACATGAATGTAGTCAATCAGCTCTTCTTCGCATGTCTCTGTTGTCTTTGATCGGGAATTAACTCTGTCATTACACTCTTGGTACTTTGCCCAAAGGTTCTGGGCATCTGGTTTTTGCGAGCAGACATCCTGTAAACACAATTCATTTTAGTTGTTTGTTCTAATTTCATTCTACTAAGTAAAATAAACTAAATTACCACCTAAATACTTTTAAATACCAAACAATCTATATAACTAAGAAAATATTAAAAGAAAAACCTCAAAATTTCTTAAACATGTCTTGCTGGATTCCTACAAGACAAAAATATTAATATTAATAAAGTAATTCCGAAAAAGAAAATGCATAATAAATTTCACAGGCAGCAATATAACTGCAGCGGGTGCTTACTTTTTGTATTCTATTATTGAACAAAAATAATGCTTCTATAAAAATTATCTTTCATTCTTATATAAACCATTACTTTAAACAGAATTTGAAAATATATGATTTAAGTCTATCACTTAAATGGACCACACTGACAAATATTCATCACATAGACATTCCTATAAGATGTAATTGTTTTAGTCCGAGGTGTCGAAATTTAAATACTAAATGCATGCAAAACAATTGGTATGGTAAGGTTGAGTTTTATTCATTAAAAGTGAAACATATTAGTCCAATATAAAGCATATCGCCTGCAAAGTAGGCCACACGATTTTCAGGGTGCGAATTACATTACTTGAGCAGCACCGCTGATATACCTCAAAACAGTTTTTAAGGTGATACAAGGGATGACAAAATGTTTCCTGTGTCCAAAACCCAAAATTGTAAATTATATTAAATATTGAACTCATGCATTAAACATATTATGTTACCAATTATTTATTTATTGCACTAAAAGGTTATAGTTGTCATCAAGCATATGCCTCATATCGGAAATTAGTATTTCTATAGAATTTATAGATTAATTATTGAAATACAATAATAGTACCCTGAGCTGCTGCTGAGGATCCACTAATTCTTCCTCCTCTTCTTCCTCGGCTTTTACAACGGGAACCAATTTCTCAGTCATTTTGTCTGAAATTTTAATACCAGAACAATTATTAGGTATCAGACATTTGTTATTGCACTTATTTAGTATTTTGTCTTATTTTTTGCAATAAAAATGAACAATATTAACCTTAAGCGATGATGCAACAACCAACCCTTCAAATCGCCAATATTTCAATAAGTTTTTTATCTATGGCTAGAAAAACATAGAGACAATTTCCACATATTTAATCTACTTCGAGTGCCACAGACTTATTCAGAAAGAATTGCATAGTAAATAATTATCCATTATTTTTTTTTTATATTGTGGTTACAACAAAATATAGTTAAATAACCGAAGCTTAAATATAACCTTATTTTTATTACCGCTGTGATTTTATAGACGTTTTCCTTAAATAACCAATTTTTTTATTTATTTCTTGAACAGTTTTCGCGAAACTAAAACTAAAGTTATTGTTATTACAAAACCCTATTATAGATTGATGAGAAAGTGATACTACTCAGTTTTTGTATACGTATATTACTTACAATAATAAGACTTAAAGAATAAAATCACAACAATAATATCCAGAAAATTCGGCAAATAACTTTTTACTAGCAACAATAAACTTCAACAAATTTGTCCAAAAAGTCCAAGGAATGAATTAATTAGTGCTTTTAAAATACTTTAACACCATTTATTACCAAAATAAAAACAGGAAAATTTCGAAAAACCTTATGAGTTAACAAATTATTATTTTATATGCGGTCTGTGGTAGCCCTCAAAGAGTATATAAAATATGGTAGACCTTGCAGAATGACAGTAGACAGTTTTGCCAATCTTTGAAGAATGCTTAAGTTCATAAAGTACAGAAATTATTGCAAAGAAATCGAACTTGCTAAAAACGGTACTTTATGGCAAACACTTCTGTGTAGTCAAATAGAAGTCTTGTTTTTTTAATTTAGTTTTTTTAATGTAATAAATTTTGTTTTGCATCGTAATTGAGTTTTGAAAAAATAGAAAATGTATTGAATTTACTGAATACATAATTATAAAAGTAAATATTATTCTGTGTCAGTACTGCTTGGTTCGTATAGCTTAGTTTAGTTCTAGTGGTCGTCACCATGGAGAGTGCTTGCTGTTGGAATATATTTTTTATTACGATATTCTCGTGTTAACTTTGTGATATTTTCTTTTTTTAGTATGTACATTGTAATAGTAAAGTTTGTTTTATTATTAAAGACGATGAATTTGCGTCACATTATTATCATTCGTTAAAAAGAAGAGAAATTTCATTTTTCTAACAAATTGTTTTATAAATATTTCAGGTTTGTTTTATTACTTATCCATAAAACAATGCAATTCGACATATTATTTTTGGCTTCAAAAATCATAAAACTGATGTTTTGAAACTGAAGACAAATTTCGTTGTAATTTGGTGAGGTTATGTACTAATAAAATTTCCCACTTATTTTTTGTTTCAGAATGAATGGAGGAATGGAGCATAGAACTCCAGGTCATAATGCTGTGCTTCACAAAGCACCTAAAAACTATAAATTGCTCATGGATCCGTGCCTTGTTAAAGGAGCAACAAAATTGTACAGATATGATGGTTGTGTGCCTGGAGACGCCAGTTATCCTCCGGTTCAGTGCAGAGATCCCAGGTCGCAGCTATCAAGAATATGGAATAAGATAGAATCAGCAGATTTGCCAATTCCTAGGTATTTCTTTCCATTTCAGATTCTCCTCTTATTGTAAAACTGTGCCAAACACAAATAAGAAATTCTTGTTTTTTCAAGGGTCTTGATGATATGTTAAGGGATGGAAAGTCTTAAAATAACTCAGAGAATGAAATGAACACAAATTTTTTAGTTGTATTAGCCAAATAATGGACAAAAATAGCTTAAATTTGTGACTTGTTGTCAAATATTTAGTTGCTTGCAATGAGCTCAGTTTATATAATGTAACGACTTTTTTGATCGTAATACCTTTCTCAAATAATGTTGGTTCCATAAAATAGTAATTGAAAGCAATATTTAAAGAAATTTCTTTAATTTTGGTTATAATCTTCTTTGTTTTTATTGTACTTTAACAGACAGTGCTACCAACATAACCTTAAAATGACATTTAGAAAGTTGCGGGAAATTTAAATACAAACATTAATTTCAGGTTTAAGATAGATAAAAATTACGTAGGCGTACCTCCTCAAGTAGAAATTACAATCGGGAATTTAAACGACAACATAGATAAGGCGTTTTTGTCAGACATGATGAATAAAGTTGGACCATATGAAGAATTGACAATATTTTACCATCCCGTTACTCATAGACATTTAGGTTTTGCAAGAATTGTATTTCAAGATGTGCAGTATTCTAAAATATGCATTGAAAAATACAATGGAAAATCAGTCATGGGTCAGGTATGTTTACTAAATTATTTATTTAATTTTTACTGATATAATCTTAATTATGTTTTTATTTAAATTGTTTACATTACGGTTACTTATTTGTTCAAACTAAAATTTATTAAGGAGAGCATTTTCATACATTTTACATGCACTCACTGCACATGGTTGACACAGGTGGAAGCCACAAATCACCTCTGCTTGCTTTTTGTGGCTGCGAATTTGTCCCATGTGCGGCAATCCTTAAATTTGAAAGTAGTTTCAAACAGTGTGCTTGGTTTTATAAAAGATTTCATAACAGCACTATTTCATTACATAAACACAATTGTAGGAAGTGATAATTCTTACACTACTCATTAGTGAGTGAGTTAGATTAGTGAGAAATCTCTATATCTCCTCCTCCATCCATAAGCTAGAAAGTTGGGTTAGAGAGAAACTTCTATAAGCAAGAAAAATGTAGCACTCCTTGGCACTCCTGCTTATCCAGGTTTAACTGTACATGTTAAGCGACACCATAGATTATACTTTTTGTATTTCCGAGTCCATATTTGTGATTTTGTCTGTGGTAAATTTAATTTATAATTTATAGGTGCTGGAGGTATTTCACGACCCATTTGGTAAGAAATGTCAGGAAATGTTTGAGGATAAGACAATGGATAGAAAGGCTCAGCCAGTTGCAACATCAACTTCGAAACTGTTAATACCGGAAGATGGTCGCTTGCCCAAGACGGAAGTGCTAAGTAAAAGACTTGAAGATACCAAGTTGACTGATAAGGTACAGGAGGGATACTCCAGATACAAGGAGGAACACAGTGATAGTAACACGCGCTGGTCTGATGAGGAGCGGGAGTACAGACATAGACATCGCAGCCGCAGTGAGCGGGACAGAGATAGAGATGGTGATAGAGACAGAGATAGAGATAAGGAACGGTGAGTAATCAAATAACTAAGATTATTTGTAAGGGCTTATTATGATCATATTAAAATTTAAATGACACGGAAAGACTGAATTTATAAATTTGTATGTTTAACATTTTTATTTACTTGCGCAAGCCGACGATGCCGAAGGAAATGTAAAAGGAAAGCAAGGTAACATTTAACAAATTGAAAACAATAAAATTTCAATAAAATACAAGTAATTATTTTCAAAAACAAGAAGTTTTCTAACTATGTTCATGTATTATTCCTGTTTTTTTTTATATATACAAACAGGCATAGAGAGCGATACGCGCGTAATACGAGCGACAACGAGACAGCGTATGCGGCATCGAATCACGGATCTAGCCACGCCCCCACACCTACGCCGAGTCATACCGCAACGCACACCGCACCGCTCGCCGCACCGCACACAGCAACGCATACCGCAACGCACGCCGCAACGCACACCGCACCGCACGTCAGCCACCCAGCCGCAATGCCGCCCGCCCTGCCCACTGAAGTGCCTTACACACCCACAGGACCGTTACCCTATGACCCCTACTATCATCAACAAAGGTATCTATATGATTCAAGTATTTATTTAAAATTTTACATTTAATATTACAGGAAATTAATTAATAGCCAATTTGTTATTCCAGACTATGTTCTATATGTATGTCAAATTTCAGCGAGATCAATGCAGCCTTTCTAGGAGAAACCTTCTAACAAACATAACATACATCCATCCATCTATTAATAGTATTACTAAGATTTTGACGTTTATAAAAAGGTTACTATGATGTCCTTGTTTGTTTCTAAGCAGTCAGTCCCGGACTCTGACTACACCCGAAAAGTACGTAAATTTTTTATTATGATTGTTTATACGGTGTGTTTTATAAATGACTCGCAGAAATCATTGCGCATGCGCAGGCAATGATTAATTTCCAATTTTAATGGTATTAGTCACGGCTTTTGATTAAGTTTTCTGTGTATTAAGCTAATTATTTTTATACGATACATTATTATTTCTTCAAAATAAATAAGTAGACAATAAAACAAATTTATTTAATTTTTTTAATTTTTATATTATGTTTTAACCTTCCAGCTACGCCTATGGTTATGGAGCGAGTCCTGCGCCGGGGGCGAGCGGTATGTGGTGGGATTGGAGACATCCTCACCACCCCTCGCATCATCATACACCACACGTGAGTCGTCATCATCACCTATTTACATACTAGGGTGATCACATCACATATTTTGACTTCACAGCTTGTATATTAAGCTACTACACGCTAATCAAAACATTTTGCATTTTTATCTGTTCAATAAAGTCTTATATAAACAAGATATGAACTGAAAGGAATAGAAAAATAATCTGTTCTTTTTTCGTATATCCTGAACTTTTTTGTATGACTTCCATTAAACTACATGCATGTTCATACATACTTATATAAATGTCTAATCTGCGATCACTCTTATATAACTTATTACTGTATATAAAACATTAATGTATTTCGTTTTTGTGGCTAAACAACAATTCATCCATTTTTAATATCATAACATATTTATGGTAAGATGTTCACACCATAGCTTACATTGTCTATGACAGCTGTCAAACTGTCAGTTTAACGTATTTTGACAAAGACAGCTGTCAATCTTGTAGTCTATGGTTCGCATATGCTCACCATAGTGATTGTCCGGAATTTTGTCTATGGCTGACGACGTGTATTGTGACTAAAGTCGGAGAGGCGGTCGGAGTCGTGGCCGACGCCCACAGCGACCGGCAAGCGCTCCCCGGAACCCAAGCCCAAGAAGACTAAGGAAAAGGTCGGCTTTGTACATGAAATATAAACAAATTCTACCTATTTTAAAAGTTAATTATATATAATTTTAACAGGTAATAGTTAAATTATTCAAACTTTGGTGAGACTTTATAATAAACTTATATAAAAACGGTTAAACACTCACGAATATTCGTCTGATGGCGGCACCGATTAGTTTCGAGCCCATCGGCCCTTTAGTGAGCTGAGGGCCGCGTCCGCGAAATAATACCCACTCACCATGATGAAGGGCCCCCGATGGGCTCGAAACTAATCAGTGCCGACACCGGACGAATATACGTGAGTGTTTAGTCGTTGTTATAGAAGTTTTTAGAAGAAATAATAGGTACAATTTGGTCAAATCAAATTGGTGTTGTAGTAGATTGCCTATATAATTTCACATATTTTACCACTGCATGTGCTATCACTAATTGCATGAATTAAATACTATACTAACATTTCATTATCATTTTTCAAAATCATATCACATACAAAATTGTTTAAATTGTCCTAGTTTTAGTCAAAAAAGTTATTGTTTATGCGCTGTCGAAGGAAATATTTATTTAAAAGGATTAAAATTATTGTAGAATTGTGAAGAAATTAGATTAAAAAAAACTGCTATAATCCAAATACTTGTAGTTGTTAGTGATGTTAGCATGTCTTAGTTCTTACTTCCACTAATTATTTGAAGAGGCTCTGATTATTTATGGTGTGTGTGAAGGAGTTGCCAGTGGAGCCTAAGAGTATAGAAACGGTGGAGCCCCCGCCTCCGGGGGTGGGTAGTGAGGGGGCGCCTGAACCAAAACCTCCCCCACCAGCTGAAGAGCCGAAAAATGTTGATCTCGACACTAGGTATGTTTATGGTTTAATAATTTTTTTAACACTTTATGGCCTTTTAATCTATGTCACATACCACATTGTATTTAAAAAATATAACAAAAAAAATTATTCTTTTCACCTATTTTATTACATTCTTATTTCTATAATCAATAAATACCATTTCCACTGGCGTTACACACAAATAGAGTTTCCACGTGTCCAATCGCTTAGTGGAAATGTAACTAACTGTCTACTAGGATCGCGATGTTGCTCTCCGGCGCGAGCGCGGGCGGAGGACTTGCGCCTCCTTTCCTCTCGCTTGGCATATCCTCGGAGGAAGAAGATGATGAGCGTCTGCCCGTCAACATACCGGACCTGGACACGCACCAACCACCATCTGATGATGAAGGTATCTCATTTTTATTGGTGTTCTATTGAAATCCTTAAATAGCTTGTTTCGCTTCCTCCGAGAAGGCCATATATGGCCCCATCCGAACGAGCCGTTTTCAAAATTCCATATACAAAATGTTTAAGAAATTAACAAACATTTATCTTACTAATATTATAGATGCGAATGTTTGGATGGATGTATGGATTAGAACTGCGGAACGAGTCAACGGATCTTGTTGAAATTGAAATATAGAACATAGTCTAAAAGAACACATAGACTACTAATAATTATTTTTTAATTCCGCCAGGAAGGTCGCGGGCTACAACTAGTATTTTTTAATTTATTGTATAACACAGTCGAAACCCAAGTTATAAATGTATATTTTTTGTCGTATAGGATCAGAGAGTGAAGACAGAGAGAGTATATTATCATTGAACTCAAAGAAGGATGTGAACCCAGAGCCGCTGTCGACCACACCCTCGCCCTTCCTAAACAGGGACTACTACCTCGAGTGCCTACAGGACACTATTGAAAGGGTCAGTTGAAATTATGTATTTTGTCCTTGGTACTCAAATTAAGTGCCAGGCTGATTTTAGTAATATCCATTTTCTAGTCTTAAAGAGAACTTAGATGGAGAAAAAAAATATAATTTATGGCATTTTTCAACCGAAAATTTGAGAATTATGTATATTTTATGGATTGCTTCAAGTTAGTAGTCTTATAAAGAAAGAAAAAAATCCAAAATCAATTAAATTAAAAATATAAGATAATTTCCTTCAGGCTCTTTGACTACAATAAAATCGTGTGTGTATACAACTATTATATTTTTCAGAGAATTAAAGAAGAAGAACGTAAGAAGTTACTAAGCGTGGAGATGGGAGATAAATTGGGATCAGATATATCGTCGTCTGAGGATGAGTTGCTGACCGGCGAGGAGCGGCGCCGCTCACCCGCTCCCGCGCCTGCCTCCGCTTCCGCCTCTGCTGCTCCCTCCGCCTCCGCCTCCGCTCACGCCTCCGATAAAGACAAAGATAACCTTGATGATGACCAGGTATGAGTTCTGAATATACCACGGACCTCTATACATGGATTTTTTCTTATATTTATTTTTTTCCTATTTGAATTTCGTTATTAACTGCCAGTAACATCAACAGACGCGTTTTAGTCTGAACGAAGCAATAGCCGTCACTTCCAAACAATGACCTATCCATTTATAGAGATCACAGTAAACACAAGTTGTAGGTCATATGTATAGATCTGTGCAGTTGTACGCCAAACCTATACTTTGAAACCAAAAAAATAGACATCTAAGGGAAGGCCTAAATATGTATAATTTAACAAATTAAAATTATTGTCTTACTGTATTACTATTTGTAAGAAAATATTTAATGTCCTTTCACCAGATGTCGCTGTCATCTCTATCATCGACGGAGGCTAAAATAGAGGAACAGGTGCCGGTGGAGGGATACTTTTACCCCGCGCCCCCGCACCCGCACACCGCGCAGCCACACCCACATGCGCACGCGCATCCGCACTACTACCAGCACATGTGGCCGCCTACAGGTAACCACTATAGTTGTATTAATATTTCATATTTAACATGTTCCAAGCCGCAAACTGCCTTAAATATTTTCTATCTTCAAAATCAAAAGGTCGTCTTTCTTAACTTGGTTAAGCACTTTCATACAGATGTAATAACAGTTTCACAAGTACTTCCCACGGAAGCTAATATAGTTACCTACACTGGTTTATTCCTATTTTTTAGTTTTATTTAAGGTCGTGTTATTATGTTTATTGAGTTTTATCTATGTTTATTTAGTACGTAAGCAATGAAAATGAAAATAAAAAAACGAATGTAATTTGTAATCCAGCGTACCATCCGCCGGCGTACCCGGGGGCGGGGCCGGGGGCAGAGATGGCGTTGGCGTACGGCGGCGGCTACCCCGCGCCCGTGATGCCCCACCACTACCCACACCACGCCTACCCCCAGCCCGCACAACACGCACAGGTACACACACAGACACAGAAACACAAACCCACACATATGCTATTAAAAAAAACGATCAAATTATTTGTTAAACTTTGATGGTTTTTTTCATATTTAATAGCTTTTCCCGTGACTCTGTCTGCGGGGAATTAAATAAAAAACTTTATTAATAGCCTATGTCTTTTAATAGGTTATGTTCTACATTTATGCCAAATTTAAACCAGATCCATTAAGCCGTTATGGAGATAACTATTAACAAACATACATCCAGATAAATATCTGGAATTTATAATATTAGTAAGATTACTAACACAAAAGAAGTGGCGTAGAACAAAAAAAAATAGAACGCATATTTACTTCCACCCTTATTTCCAGGAGTTAGACAACCCTTACTTCTCAACAATAAATAGGGTGATAGATCGCGTCACGACGGAATTAAAGCAAATACTAAAGAAGGATTTTAACAAGAAGATGATTGAAAGCACAGCGTTCAAGAGTTTCGAAGTATGGTGGGACGAGCAGAGCCGGAAAGTGCGAGCGCCCAAGACAAAGGAGGAGGCGGGCCAGCCGTTACAGGTAAAAAAACAAAGCTCCTTATTCGCGGTTTAAAAGTAGTTAGAGAATTGAATTAACTACCCATTTAGTGTATGTATTTATGAAATGTTTTCGTAATTTCATTGTGTACCACAAATTAATGACATTTCGAGTGTTTCCCGTTGCTCTGATCGAATAACATATAAGAATACTAGCTGTCTCCTGCGACTTCGTCTGTGCCTTTGTGTCAGCAAGCCGAAAATAAGCCGTTTTGAAGATACATTCTAACAAACATACATCCATCCAAACATTCGCATTTATAAAATTTAGTATGATAAATTTAATATATTGGTGTTTTCTTTCCAGGATATCTCAAATAAGAAAGAAGAGACAGTGGATTCCATAAAGTCTATAATGGAGTCTAGAGACCTAGGTCTAGAACTAGGTGGGTACGGTGTCGGTATTGGCCTAGGTCTCCGTGCCACAATACCTAAAATGCCTAGCTTCAGACGCAAGAGGAAAATACCTTCGCCAGTTGTTATGGATGAAGACTCTTCAAAACGTCTTAGTGATCAGGTAAAGATTGAGATTTTTATTACCCCTTAGTGTTGGTAATTTACTCTCAATTTGTTCTAAGGAGCTAATCAAGGTTTTTGAGTGCGAAAAGCGAGCCACAATCACAAATAAATTGTTGTTTTGTTCTTAGTTTACTTCTATTAGTAAATTGATTGCACTTTATGATTAGAAATGTCTTTATTTTTAACCTATTCTGACTTGGCTGTAAATTTATATATACGTAATATATATGTAAATGTTTCCAGGAAGAAATGGTGCAGAACTCTGACGAGGAGAAGGAAGTTCCCACCAGTCCGAGGAGTAGGACGACTGGTTCTTATCTCTCAACCAGCAGGAGACGGCAATCCAGTAGTTCGTCCAGGTATGTTGAATATCCAGTGTCGTAACACGTTTATTGCTATTCCTTTCTTTCTCTTTGAGAATAAAAGAGACAGCAATACAACAACATAAAAAGGCATAGATAAAATTGCACTCAAAGGTGCGATTTCGTGAGACATGGCATAGTCATATATGGCAATCGTTATGAGACAAAATAGTACTGCAAATGCTGCTGCCGTTTGTGGTTTTCTGCGTGCAGTGAAATCGCACCTTAACTTGTAACAAATTTCCATACATAACATCGTCTTATCGCGTCTGAAAAAAACTGAGATATATTTTGATATAAATACTTCTGCAATGTTATATATAAGTGTTTTCGTTGTGTGCAGGTCATCATCATCATCATCATCTCGGTCGTCATCATCAGACTCTGTGTCTGCGGGCAAGGGTGCTGCGATTCGCATCTACTCTGATTCCGACGATGATTCCGAACTTGATGAGTCTCAGGTATTTACAAGAATATGTCACGTTAAAATATAAATATCGTCTATTTTGTAATCTAACTGGGATACATTTTTGACTAATTTTGAATTTAATCTCCTTTAAAATTAGGTATATTTTTCTTTGCAGTTCAAGGTTGTGGCTAATAATAAGGAAAGGCTTAGAAGGGTCTACTCATCGTCTTCAGACAGCGAAGAGGAACAGAGCAGGAGAGGTCAGTTGTATATAAAATATTAGTGTCTAGAAGTTTCTATTAGTTACGGAACAGTTCTACAATGAAAAGGTTTTTTTCCAGATAAAATCAAAAGATATTAAACGGAATTTAAAGCATATTAATAATAGAAAAGCTACGCATATATTTCAGTTTTCTATCAAATCATTCCTGAATTCTAACTTAAAAATAAGATAAGATAAAGCTATTGAGACCATGTATAAAAACTCAGTACTTCAATATTTTCCAGAAAAAACTCCAATACCGCCTGTGGAGATGGACGAGGCGGGCGAGGAGTTAGCACCGAGCTCTGAGCGGCTCGGCTCACCAATACTCTCGCCGGAGGAGGAACCTCGTGACTTACTTCTCGATCGGGTCTACTCTGACTCAGAAGAGGAGAGAGAATACCAGGTAAATATACTAGAATTATATATTGTTAGATGGTCAAAATAGTTCGAGAGTCTTAGTCCAAGAGTCGACTATGAGTATTTTACCCTAAGGAAGCTGTTAGAAAGGAGAAAAAGTGAAATATTTCCTATTCTGTGGTTCCTTAAAGTAAATAAATATTCTTTTAATAGGAAAGAAGAAGAAGAAATACAGAATACATGGAGCAGATCGAAAGGGAGTTCCTAGAAGAACAGAGAAGAAAGTTGGAAGGCGACACGAGGCCAGACAAACCGCCTGATGATGGGTACATACATTCAAAACATTTTTAATCGCATGATAATAGATTTAAATTTGTTTTATATACATAAATTTTATCTTTTATTAATGTCTATTTTATTTTAACAGTAAATTAGACAATAAGGCAGAAGAAAGAAGTAGTCCATTGAAGAATCATTTGAAATCACCTGAAAAAAGTAAAAAGGCGGACGTGGAAGAGGGAGAGATCACGTCAGATGAGGAGCCGCTTGAGGTTCGGCGGAAGAAGGAGAAGAAACAGAAGAAGAAAGAAGATAAGAGACAGAGATTGGTGTCTGTTAGTGATGAACATAGTTACACGGAATCTGGCATCGGTCTCAATGGTGTTAAAGATGTAAGTCTAGACATAACCAATATAATAATAAACTAGTTATCGCCCGCGACTTCGTCAGAATTAAAAATAATTACATTACATAGAAATATTAGCTATTATATACATAGTACATATGAGTTAACTTCCAGTGAAATTTCTATCAAAATCGGTCTAGCCGTTTCTGGGACTACCCGTACGAACCGCACATTTGTAGCCTGACAGACACACAACAATTAAAAAAAATTCGATGTCAAATAAATCATTTTTAAATATGGAATTTTCTGTAGATAAATCTTTATATCGACAGTGAATATCTATTTAAAGTTTAATAGATTTAAAGTAAGATATAACAAGCCTATGTATTACGTGTGCAGACAAGCTGTGCGTTGTCGGAGACTTCCTCGCCGCAATCCCAGGCGTCTCAAGCATCGCAAGCATCACAAGTCGCGCTCGACCACTCCTACTGCCGCCCGCCGCCTGACCTGCAGCCTGCCACGCCCACCACACCAACCACGCCCACACGTCTCTCAAACCATCTGCACCACGACCATGGTCAGTAAACAACACTATACAACCAAACCTACTCAATATACCTATTATAGGTTTCCGAGAAAAAATTTCTGTACCAAACTAACTATTGTGAATTAATTTAATATTCAGGGTACACCTGGATGGCGGAACCGAAGAGCGAGACGCAACAGGAAGAAATCAAGCCTAAGAAAGAGAAAAGACCTTACAAACGCAAGCATGAGACCAAGAAGTTGGCGGAGATACAAAACAAGTGAGTATATAATGAATCCTGAGTATGAAATGAATTACTTTCACTAAAAACAGTCCCTCACTTATCATAGTAAATCTACACTAATGGACTACATTGGTGACCGCTTATCTATGTTAAGAATTTGATATTACAAGCTAAAGCCCACGACTATGTGGAAGGGAACGACGCGGAATACAAAAGAATAGTAACCCATGTGTTCTTCCAGAATATATTTTACATCTATGCCAAATTGCGGCGAGATCCATGCAGCCGTTCTGAAGATACTTTCAAACAAACATCCATCCATCTAAACATTCGCATTTATAATATTGGTAAGAAGTAAGATTGATAAATAAGTAAAAATATTAACAGATTACACGAGACGGTGGAAAGCGGTGCGTCAAGTCCCGAAGCGGTATCACGGGGTATGACGTTCCCGGCGCGCGACATGATGGCGGAGATGCAAGTGATGTACGAGTTCCTGACACGTGGCGTGGACCGCGAGGACGTACGTCTGCTGCGGCGCGCGTACGAGGCGCTACTGGCGGAGGACGCGCACGGCTACTGGCTCAATGACACGCACTGGGTCGACCACCCCCCCACTGACGTCGTGTACGCCCCGCCCCCCCGCAAGAAGTACAAGCGTCAACCCAACATGTATGAAGACCTGCAGGTAACTAAGTCATATCTACAAATATAGGCAGATCGTAGGCAACTACCTTTTTTCTATCAAACCCACTACTTTAAAAGTGTTTGTTAGTATGTATAACTTCGTCGTTGTTTGTCTGGTCGAAGAATAAAAAAAACAAATCTATGGTACTCCTGCATACATCAGCTACCTTCCAATAAAAGTCCCGTCAAAATCGGTCCAGCCGTTTTTGAGATTACCCGGATCAAACGCAGACTTGATTGACGGACAAATTCTTGTGTTGTTGTACAGGGCCACTCTAGCGGTGCAGCACGTACTGAGGGCTACTACAAGATGGAGGCGCGGCTGAAGGCCAAGTACAAGTACCATCACGGGCGCGGAGCCGCGGGTGATGACAAGCGTCCCAGCAAGATGCAGCTCTCCCGCGAGGCGCGCTCCAACCAGCGCAGGCTGCTCACTGCATTCGGTACGATAACTTCACACCCCTAATGAATCAAGGGTACACAGAGACTACCACTTTTAACGCAGTCCTGGCCCACTTCTCTTTCATAATTATACAAACTACAAAGTCAACTTGCGTAAATTTTGTACTCATCGGGTTATTTTTGCTACTCAGGTACTGATACGGACTCGGATCTGCTCAAGTTCAATCAGCTAAAGTTCAGAAAGAAGCAGCTGAAGTTCGCCAAGTCTGGTATACACGACTGGGGCCTGTTCGCACAGGTATTGATTACTTTGTATTATAATTTAGTCGGTTTATGTCAGATGAATTATTTGATTGCCTTTTTCTTCTATAAAAAAATCTCTATTAAAAATTTATTTGTATGTGTGTTTAGGAGCCGATAGCTGCAGACGAGATGGTGATAGAATACGTGGGTCAGATGATCCGGCCGATAGTTGCGGATGTACGCGAGGCTCAGTACGAGGCGACAGGCATCGGCAGCTCATACCTGTTCCGTATAGACCTCGACACTATCATAGATGCAACCAAGTGCGGCAACCTCGCGCGATTCATCAACCACAGCTGCAATGTGAGTCATACACACACCTATACATGGATATACGTATACGTACACACACACGTGGACGCGTTCGTGCACGCACACTTGAATAATCGCGTACGCATATGTACGTGTTTGCGCACGCGTCATTTTAACTCTTCTTTCGATTTACTAATGCTTTTGCTGGCGACTCCGTCCGCACGGAATAAAAAAAATGTTTGTATTATTTCTTTCAGACTATGTTCTACATCTATGCCAAATTTCAGCGAGATCCGTTGAACCGTTTTGAAGATACTTTCTAACAAAAATCCATCCATCCATACATGAATCCAAATATTTGCATTTGGTACATTAGTAAGATGAAATTGATATATGCAGATTTACAAATTTTACTTTTTTATTTCACTATGTAAAAAAAATATTCCATTTGAATTCATATTAGATAATGACTAATCTGTTTTTTTCAGCCAAATTGTTACGCAAAGATAATAACGATAGAGTCTCAGAAGAAAATCGTGATATATTCAAAGCAACCTATAGGAGTAGACGAGGAGATCACTTACGACTACAAGTTCCCTCTAGAAGACGAGAAGATACCCTGTCTGTGTGGCGCGCCTCAGTGCAGGGGCTTCCTCAACTAAACCACGCCCCTCGCCCCGCCCCTCGCCACGCCCCGCACAGGGGATGAGACAAATCGGACAGGAAACGAGACAGTGCACAAAGGAATCCTTAATGTCAGTGCTTCTTGGATTTTTTATGTTGGACATGTGTAAAATCTTTTGGTTCAGTGTTTTTTTTTAAAGCTTTAGTTATAATTTTTCTTATTGAAATTCGTTAATACGCTTTTTAAGTAATTATGAAGACTAATTAATTTATTGGAAAGTAAGATTCATATCAAATACAATTCGAATCGTTTACTCTTTTTTGGGAAAGCTAAGGGAATATTTTAACAATACGCTGATAATTTAATAACTGTTCTTATGAGAAATATTATTTTTATTGGCACCATTTTTAAGGAGTTTGTTAAATAAAAGCACAATGTAAATAATGAAATAGTTATCAAAGAAAATGGTGGTGGAAAGCAGTGACTGTTTTTTTCAATGTGTCATTATCATTATGTCGCTTTGAATTCGAATTAGTATAAGAAAGTCACTGGATGGCTCAATATTGATGTAATAGAAACAAAATGTTGCCTAACATCGATGGAAATTAGGTCTATACAGATTGAAACTAGATAATAGACATTCACAGACTTTGGTGGTAAAAATTGTGGTCTTATTTTTAATACTTTATAGTACTCATCATGAATTAATATGTGAAATTAGCAATAGTGTTTTGTCTCTTTCGCACTTATTGTCTCGTAAGCATCTATCTCGCTCATATTGTAAAATGACAAGTCTGTGATGGAGACGATACGTTTTGTCTCTTTCTCACCTGTGTTCGTGGTTATATATCTGTCTCGTTCACTTTCTGAAATGTTTAAACTGTGTTTGGAGCTAAATTCATACAGTTTCGTGATGAGTATTCAACAAACAGGAATGAAATATTTATTAAATCTTGTTCCGTATGAATTAAAAATGGCGATGTGTAGACCAAAATATTACTATAAAGTTCTATGACGGAATTCAAAGAACTGTCCTGTAGACCAAAAATGTGTCGCAAGATCCTTGTCTTATTTTCTTGTAATGTTTGTTCTTTTATTATATTTTCTATGTTTATGTAGGAATCTTGTGATACTTTTTGAGATAGACAGAGGGCGCTAGTGGTCTGTCATAATTTAGTTTGACTTATGGCCATAGTGGGCATAAGTCAAACTAAATTATGACGGATTAAGTCGGATTGTGACAAAGGTTCTTACCGAAGATTTGTAATACAGTGACACTTGTAATGAGACTATTATGTATTAATACAGAAGAGAAGAGAAGTAATACAGAATTATTCCGGTAATACTATTACTGCAGTAATTCTACGGTAATATAATGTAATCTCAAAAGAGGCAAGGTTGTATGTAATTATTAAATTATGTAATATTTCGCAAGGTAGAGTCGATTTGCAATTTTGATAAATTTTTTTTATAAAATTTGCAAAGTGAAGATTAAGTGCCGCATTCAGTTATTTAATGGTTAAACAATTGCTTGGTGTTAAACTAAAGGAGATCCTTAGTGGACATTTAATGACTAATTGCGGTAGTATCTGTTGTTTAGTCAGTCTGTCTAGAATCTAGATTTTGTCAAATAGCTCTTCCTATAAAGCGATGTTTACGACAAATTCTGACGAATGTATATTTAATATAAATTTATAACATTTTTTTATGTATTGAAAATATGAATTTGTCTGTATGTATGTATGGAACGTGTCTAGTATGATAAAATCCCAGTGTAATTTGACTAAATCAGTTCTTGAAATGTAATCAATTGTTGCTAAACTTGACTGAATCTAAGATAATTTACTAGGTAAGTGTGTTTTTATTGTCTTAAAACTTGTATAAAAACATAGTCAAGTCATGTTAAGAGTTGGACAGATCGGACAACCAATCGGCCCAATATGAATTTTCCTTTCCCATTGGACCGATTTAATTCATAAAAAGACCCATTGCTTTCATTAATAAAAGTAGAGAAAATATTTTTTTTATACAAGTTTTATAATAGTTTAATTACACAGTAATCTTAAGTTGCTGATACAAAAACATATTGATGTCTCAATTTTTTAAAGGAAAATGAAAGAGATGACGATATGTTTCTGTTAATGTTTCGGCAGTGTAAACATCGGACATAATGCTGTATAATTTCTTGTACATTATATCTTTGTGAATATTAAAAATATAGTTCTGCTTGTCAGATTTTAGTACATGTTGTAAGTACATGGCATTGTTTGATATCGGAGTGTTCTGTCTGTAACTTCAGTGTCCTGTCTACATTATAAATTTAATCTCTGTGAGAGATGCTCTGTGATGGGATATCAAATGTATACCAGACTCTGATCTTCACCTAATGTAATGTAAAATGTAATAAGATTGTAAATAAACGATTCCAAGAATATTTTTTTGTTTTTTTTTTTTATTAAAATTTAAAAACTTGATAGTGACTCATTGGAAAATTTTTAATTTTTCAATTGAAAGACTTAATTAAAAAAAAACAGATATGTCAAATTTCATACATGGCGGCCATTGCTACACTTTATTTCATAAAAAGTGTGGGATAAAATGATGTTAAATAAGCGTATCCTTATGATGTAAGTTTATTTTTTTTATATCACAAGATGGCAAACGAGCGAGCGGCCACCCGAAATCGCTGATACAGTGAAGTGACCGTTGCCCATAGACATACGCAATTGCATATGCGTTGCCTACCTTTCATCGACGGAGGATGCACAGAAAGAAAATATATTCCCTTTCTATGCATCCTCTCATCCGGAAAGTCCACTTCCACTTCCCATCCTTTCCTTATAAGGAAAAGGTGGGAAGGGAAAGAGGACTAAATTAGGCCTTCGGGACGCACACTCATCAGACGAAACGCGGAATTACTTCCACTTGACGCCTGTCTTCTGTGTGGTCGTGGTATTTCACCGGGCGAGCCGGGCCAATTCGTGCGAAGATGTTAAAGCGGGCTCTACCACTGTTAAATTATTTAAATAGTTACGAGAAAAAAGAAGTTTGACCATAAACATATTGAATTTTAAAGACTTTAAGTTTGTCTATGGTTACAGGGTTGGATTGAAAAGTATAATAAAACAATTGCATAATAAATAGCATATAATATTACTTCTAAAACCTCACGAATGAAACAAAATCATGTTTTTGTGGAGTGGAAATCCACGGTTATAATAAATACGTTAAATAGAAAACAGAATAATTTATATTCTGGAAGAGAAATTAAAATCTGATTTTATGTTCATGTTCGTGCTGGTGTTTGTGTTTCTTCTGGTTCTTTTGCAGCTTGACCTTCACTTTGACCTTGACCTCTAACTTCTTAGCCAGCTCTGCAAGTTCCGGGTCTTCTTCGGATTCGGAATCTGAATCCTCTTCCTCAGGTTCCTCGGTAGTTGATGGTGTTGTGGTGGGGGCACTAGTGGTTGTGTTTGATGGTGGGCTTGGTGTGGTCACTGTGGGAGTTGTCGTGGTTGTTGTGTTTGGTGGTAAGCTTGTGGTTGTCGGAGCAATAGTTGTATTAGTTGTTGTCGGGGCAGATGTAGTGGTTGTAGGTGCTGCTGTAGTTGTGGTAATTGTAGGTGCTTGTGTAGTTGTCGTGGTTGTTGTGGTGGTAGTTGTAGTTGTTGGAGGATCTTCCTCAATGAGATTATCAAAGTCAATTTGAGTAACTTCTGTGAACCAGCTGTGGAATGGTCCGGGTCTCGCGAAACCTGAGTAATTGAAAGTTATTACATTAAACAGTTTTCTCTCTCACAAAAAAAATCCCTAAAATGAGCAGCAATATAAACAATGTATTTTCACCAAAAATGAATATAATATTACCTCCAGGAAGTCCAGAATGGCATCCCCAAGGCACTTGAGCTACGAATGAGCTGACACCAATGAGAGTGGGCACGTCATCTGACCCGCGGTGCACCAGCGGCCCGCCGCTGTCGCCCTGGTACAATGCAATAAATTAAATAATAACCTAAATATCAAATAAAGAGAAAAATAACTTTAATTCGACTGATTTTAGTGATATTATAGCAAAAGCAAGTTTCGCAACCAACTTTAAATTTTATCTAATTTATTTTTATATTACCATATCGCTGAGGGATATTGTAGCTTTCAAAAAAGTTTTTAAGTTAAAAAAAAAATCTTAAATTGGTTCAGAAGTTTCAAAGATTATTCAATGCAAATAAACCATCAAATGTTTTCTCTTTATAGATAACAAATAACTAAAGGGTTAAGAAATATTTAACTATAAAACATATATTAAACTGAGTAAGTAAGAAGATAAATTACATTTACATCACAAAATTTAAAAAAAAGTTTAAAAAGTTGCAAATAAAACTAAATTTAAAATTCCTTAGATCAACATGGCTAGATTATAAAGCGACACTAACCTGACAGATAGACTGAGAAGTGACGTTGAAGAAGCGCGCGCAGATCGTGGTGGAGGTTATGATAGCTCCGAATGTTGACGCACAGGATGGGTTCGAAACACCGCGAAGATAAACCCAGTTCAATACTTCAGGACTGTTTCCTGATTTAACATATTTAAAGTAAAAAGTTATTAAAAAGGCTCTTGACAGACGGACAACAAAGTGATCCTGTAAGGGTTCCGTTTTTTTCCTATGAGGTACGGAACCTTAAAAACAACCAAAATAACACTAATTTATTTCTATAACACTTGGGAAAAATATACAATCAAATAATAAATCACAATTCGTAATCGGTTGATATGGATAATAATTGGACATATCTAAAAAGTCATCGTGGGTTTCTGAGACCAAAATCTCTGTATAAAACATATGATGGATGACTATCCCTCTCATTATCATGGACAAAATAGAGACAACAATATGTTTTAAGCGGAGATGTTGGTATCGTAAAATCACGGTAAGTCGGGCAAACATAATTATGTCATAGATTAAGTTCTTGAATATTATTTTTTAATCTGTACTGACCTTCAGTCCAAGTCCTGCCGTGTCCGCTGGCGTAAAGTACCTCGCCTTCGTAGTTTCTGTACGCATCAGCAGCGGGCTGGATACGAATAGCTTTCAAGTTTGCTACAAAAGTCATTAAAAGATATAAATTTAATAAATACATGCATGTTTAAAAAAAGATGCTTTAATATAGCACTCATTTATACAGTTACAAGCTGTCGCCCGCGACTCCGTCTACAGCAATTAGAAGACTATATATTCTTCCAGAATATGTTCTACAGATATGACAAATTTCATCGAGATCCATGTAGCCGATTTGGCCTTCAAACAAACATCCATCCATCTAAACATTCGCATATGTTTCAGAAGCCAAACCCTTACCCTAATCATTAAGTCGATTTTACATTCAGTGCCAAAAGAAAGAACAATTATGTACATGAAATAAAAAAAAAAACTAAATAAATAAAAAACATTTTATACAAAAATACTAATTGTTTTTGCTTATGTAATATCATAATTATTTTGTCTTACCTGAATACGTGACAGGGTTAGGCAGACGGGCAATACTGATGTCATTGGGCTGCACTTGTGTCGGCAGCAAGTCGTTGTAAGATGGATGATTGTACCACTCAGTAGTCTCCGATATGTATTCGGGACGTGTCAGATTAGTGACACCAGCGCGGACTACCAAGGTCACAGCACTGTTAAGAACAAGGAACAATTATTAAACCCTTTTTTTTTCTTTCAAATAATATTTTGAAGTAGATAATGGCAGGGGTTAATAATAGGGACGTACTTGTTTCCTGTCATAATAAAGCCACTTCTAAATTACATACCTTTTTTGGACTGCTTAACTATCCATTAAACTTCTTTGAGTACAGCAGTTACCTTTGCGTTTATAATATTTGTAGAGTATTTGCGGCTACTAAGTCTAAGTCGCTAAGGAAAGCTACGTCTAGATTGCTTTCAGATGTTGTGAGCAATTAACGTTATTTGCAGTCTGTATATACGTGTTAATGTAACAAACCCAGCAGTGCAATGAGCAGCCGTGATGAGCCAGTTGCGGTGCACGATGGAGGCGCCGCATGCGTTCACGATGCCCAGCCGGAACACCATGCGGAGAGAGGCGTGGTGAGGATGCTGCCCCGGACGAGCCTCCCATCCCGATACGATACGGGAGTCATCGCCTACATTACAAATATAATCTCAATCTTAACAAAACTTTCTCTTTCAAAAACTTCTAATTAAACAAAAAACTCTCTGTATTATTATTTCATATTTACTAAAAGTTTGGTACTTTTGAGCGCCCTCAAGTACAAATACTAACCATCTCGTAATCTAACTAAAGTAAAAAAAAGTCTCAAGTCAACTATCTAAAGCTGACACTTAGGGTCATTTAACGTTACTTAAGTAGTTCCGTCATGTTAATTTCTCGTATTTAATGTATACACTAAGAGACGACTAACATAAAAAAAATGTTAATCACGATTGTCGACTCTGAAGCGACCGTATAAGCTTACCTTCAGATTTCCTTAGTACGGGAAAATATTAATTTTATCATTATTATCAAAAATAACATGGAAATGTGTAAACGTGACTCAATCTAACAATCTATCAAATTATTATAATCTGGTAAAATTACTGATTGTCTACAAATCTGGAAAATTCACTATGTAATTAGATAAATATTTGCGATAAAGATAAAACATAGTAATATTATACTTACTTTTTTTATTTACATTTTCAATAAAGTCTGGCTTTATGAATACCGCTGAAGCCTAAAAACAAAATAAAATATTTAGAATAAAAAAAACTCTATGGCCACTTTTACATTTCTTTATGATAATAAAGTTATGTTAAGAATTATGAAAATCGGACCAATAGGGGCAGAGTTATCGACGAACAAAAATAAAAAAAACATACAGACGAATTGAGAACTTCCTCCTTTTTCAAGTCGGTTTAAAAGTACCCAAAAAAGACACTATCATAAAATGTTTATTTTATATTTATTGACCATGTAAAATTAAGAATTAATGATTTGAATTGTTATAATTTCCGGGTTTGTGCAAATTAATTTACGATTTATCTGTTTCTAAATTCATCATTTTTTTTTTCAAAATCCCTTTTTTTAGTTTTAATTGTGGTTTGTTATGATTTATTTATCGGCTTATTTATACTTAATACGTCATCCAATTAAAAATATGATAGAAAGGTCGTATCTTCAGATCTTTATAGTCGAAATTATCATCGAACGATATTATTGACGTCATATTTGCATCCTCCAAAGAGTAATTAATGTTTCCTAACATTTAAATAAGGAATAACTTTCGAGACAAAAATGAAACGAAAATTATGTTAACTACACACTACTGATATGATTAATTTTAGAACGATTAAACATAGGTTTGGATTTACCACATTTAAATGAGTTTAACGAGGTCCATTTTTATGGCAACTCTAGCTTTTAGTTGTTTTAAATATTTTATTAAATAACCGTTAAACTACGTTTCCCGATGTTAAGAATTAGACGGCATATTCCTCATATCATTAGCTATAGAACTAGCTTAAAAAGAAATTTATTCATTAGGTTAATATTTATTTTGTTCTATTAATTTTAATTAAATTGATATATTAATAAATATTAAAATAAAAGTTAGAAAATATCTTACCAAATTAATGGCTAAAGCTATTAGGAGTATAGCCGTTTTCACTAACATCTTCACCCTTACTGAAGGCGTTTAGAAAATTAAAGCCCGTTAACATATGTTGTTTATCATATCTGAGATACGATTTTGATTGTTTTTCCAATTGTATTAAAAGTAAATCACAGCAAATTGATAATACAGGTTGTGATAATGATAGATAAAAAATAATCGATGCTACTTGAAGCCGTGATTTAATTAATTGTTAATCAGCATTTATTTTTTTGGAAAAACAAAATTAAAATTAGACAGGAAAATGGAAAGATTTATTATGGAGAAACTTGATCGTAGTGCCAAAGTCTGGTCATTTAACACCTTAAGAAGCTCGGTTTTGGTCTTCTTAAATAAACTAAAAAGCATAGAATTATAAAACGATTTGTCATCAGATATTAATAAAAATCGTTTTTTAACATAACTTTTAGCGCCATTTTGTTTTAAGATTTATTGACTTTTATAAAAATATCGTGGCCGTACGCCTCAAGTTTTAACCTTCGATATCGGTTTGAAAAAAAAAAGCTTTATACGTCATTAGTTATTAATTAATATTGCATAACCTTGTTTAAAAATTAATTTGACGGAAACTTCTTAACGATGGTAATCAATCAGGTAATCAATAACTGATAATATTTCAAACAAACGTGAGTGTTTGTGATATCTAATAGTCAAAGATAAAACCAAAATGACATGCGTTGGAATTATTACTAGTTTTTTTTAAGGTTTAATTATTTTATCACCATGCAGTATTAATTTATTTGATATAAGTAGGCTTATTTTGTTACAAGAATTTTCCTCGCCTTTCTAATTAATTACAAGAATCGAAGGATTTTTAGTATAAACATAAAATAACTCACCTGACGTTACGTAGCCTTTGTCAGTCTACACGCACTTTTAATTTCATCGCTTGATGTACATTTGAACTGTTCTTATCCGAACATAAGAGTAGGTCTTCATTGTTTTGCCTTTGTTTCTCTCTGTGCATCATTTCCTCATTTCTAATGGTCGCGACCTCTGTTTTTAAGCTCTTATTTGGGCTTATCTTTTATTATTTAGACTTTTGAGGTTATTTTGACTGTCAAGTAAGGTTTACATAGTAAATTATTCACTATTAACTAAAGATTCTGATAACAAAGAAAACTCTTGTATATTTTTAAAGTAAAACAGATACGTGATGTGTTGAAAAATACGTATTTTCCCGTTGTTTCGTGCCGCTTAACTCTTGCAGTTAAGAGGTCTGTTGACGTACCAATGTCATGGGTTCGCGTAATACCCTCTTTTTAATTATTATTTTTATTCCGATCTACGCATAACAAATGTGTATACAAATTTGACATTGAAAAATTCTAACATCGTGTGTGATTTTTTCTGCCCAATTATAATCTTCATGTTTCTAGGTAAGATAATTAGATAATGTTGTTTCTATGGCATTCAGTTTTGAACTTTAATGTCGCATTTAATGGTTCAAATTGGTTTACATGGACGATGTAATAAGGGTTTTTTGCACCTGCTTTGATTTCTTGATGCGATAAAAGATAAAATAGTATAAGCAGAATTTGTTTCAAGCGGATAATTAATCGAATCGGAACTAATTTTATTTTACAAAAATGTTATAGTAATTCGTAAATTAAATTATAACGCGTTCAAAAGATTTTATTAAAAAAAGAAAAAAAAAAGAGTTATTAATAAAATTAGATTGTCTGTATATAACATCGAAAAATATACTCACTATCTATTTTTTATTCTCGACTGACGAATACGCGAGCGACTGCTAGTCTATACTTCTATACTAATACTAGCTGTCACCCGCGACTCCGTCCGCGCAGGATTAAAAAGAGATGTTGACCGATTCTCATACCTACTCAATATGCTCACAAAATTTCATGAGAATCGGTCAAGCCGTTTCGGAGGAGTATGGGAACGAAAATTGTGACACGAGAATTTTATATATAAGGTTATAAAGAGCAAAGATTTGTATTTTATTTATTTTATTTAACTAAAAAACTAATAGACGGATTTCAAAAATCCTTTTACCATTAGAAAGCTATTTTCACAGAGTAACATAGGCTATGTTTATTACTAGTTTTAGGTCGCCGACAGAACCTAGTAGGTTATTTCTACTTACTACTACTAATATACTTACTACTCTGGCGCATCGACCCAAAGTGGGCTTGGCCTTCAACACAAGAGATCGCCAAAGTCGCCTGTTTTGCGACTATGGTAGGTAGTAGATTATCTATGGTTAGGAAATTTTTAAGTCGATTCAAATTAAAAACAAATATCATATTAGATTTTTATATTAATAATAAATAAATATTCATTTTGATGGATGAATTAAAAATCAAACAACAAATTACAAATTTATAACATTTATTTTATAAGGACACCTTATATTATATAATCACAAAACAAACTTTACACTGGCTACTCTATTGGGTAGGTCTTTAATTACGAAAAAAAAAATTAAAAAGGAAGACACCTTTTGGAATTATTTTTTTTTTATAAAATTAAATGGCTAGTCTTTTTGACATACCCAATAGTGATACAGATACACTGAAGCCTCTTTAATATAAATAATAAATAAATTGCATTAAGCAAAATTTCGAAAGAGATTCCTCAAGATCTAATTGTTTGGAATAAAATATATATTCGTCATCATCAGCTCACTATACGTCCCCACCGAGGGGCTCGGAGCCTACCCTAAGTTAAGGGTGACTAGGCCATAGTCAACCACGCTGACCAAGTGTGGGTTGACTTCACACATATCTTTGAATTTCTTCTCAGATATGTGCAGCATCACGATGTTTCCCTTCACCGTAAGAACGTCGGATAAATACATATGTAAATTGGAAAACGAAAAATACATTGGTACATGGCGGGATTCGAACACAAGACCTGCAGATTGCAAGTCAAGTGCTTGACCCCTGAGCCACAGACGCAATTATATATTATCTGTTAGATATTATCATATTCCGATAGATAGATATTAAATCTTTATTTCCGTCAACTATCGAAATGTAAAAGGCAATTAACATGGAAAATTTTTATATGAATACATTTGTCAGTTCCAGAACATTCTAAATTTAAAATTTCGAAATTAGTTTTTATTTTAAAAGAAATCTGTCTACAGATTAAATAAGAGTTAATTCATAACTAGAGTAATAGTAATTATATAACCAAAATATACATAAAAGCTATTTTTTTTGCAGCACCCTTTTCCATACTTTTAAGCAGTAACCAGTTGTTATTGCTGTATGAACGCAACATGAAGTTGAAACGAGATATTTTCTATGATTGGAATCCTTAAGTCAAAGATTGTAGAAATATTACATCAAAATATTGTTTATACAAAAATGCATAAAATTAAATGCAACTATTTAAAGGAAAACAAAGTTGGAAAGAAATAACTACTGTAACTTTGGGTTTTGTCTCTGAAGCGCGACGCGTTTATGTCCTATAATGTGTGAGCTAGATAGATGTATACAGAAAGGTTAAGAGCGACAGTGACATCACATTTTTGTCGACTATTATTTTGTTATAACAATTTTATTTTTTATATGCGATTTAACAAAATTGTGTCCAAATTCGAAAAATTTTCCAGCGAGTCAAACAGTTACAAAGCCGTATTACTATAAAATGGTTTCTTTTCTAACTTTAAAAAAATATAGAAATGTTATCTTATAAGCAACAATGACATTTTTCTATACTAATTTTAAAATCAACAAAACGCCAAATATATAGTCTGCAAAAAAGAATATTGCTGTCTCACTCTTTTCCATTAGTTAGAAAGAGTCAACATGACTTCGTCATAACAGATATTTAAAGTAAACATAGACGCAATAATGTACATGGACCGTTGTTATAGAGCGTTGTCTCTATCACATCGATAGGGTGTGACAGAGATAATACTATATGAAGCTGTAGCTCTCTCGCTATCTCTTTCTTTTTCAAGGTCAATATGCAATATTTTCGTCGTTTACGTGCTCATTATATCTAGGAATATATATTTCAAAACTCATCCTACAGGTATGGGCAAAAAAGCACCATTAAGACGTTTAACATCTATCAAAATAAAAACATCTCTATTGACATTAGAAATAGAGTATATTTTCCAAACACCAAAAGCAAAAACACCTATTTTGTGCATTTAACTATCCACCAAATTGTGCAACAATGATTGACTTATTTAGAAAAGAACTTTTGTTTTATACAAAAGGAAAGAAAATCTTGTCTATGTTTAATATCTATGAATTAAAAATAAATAAAGGAACAACATTGTCTATGCCACATTTATTTGTACATCAACCAGATCTATGAGAATTTGTACATTTGTGCGCAAGTTATTCCAGAAATTTAATTTTGAAATTAAATAAAAATAAAAAATTGAACTGACTGAAAATTTTTGATATTATAAATTCAACTCTATATCACAGGTAATACATTCTACTTTGGTATAACAAACCATTCAAACCAAAAAAAGATATATTCTATATTTAAATTATATCAAAAATAGACGAAGAAAAATAAATACTCAATAAATGCATAATAAAGCGAAGTGCAAAGTTAACGAAACTTTTAATGCCTTAGCGAAAAAAAAAATACTTGAGAACTATTAGTCGTTTAACAATATTCGAAGTTTTTATACATATTACTAAAACATGGAAACGCATGGCCGCATGAATTATAGCCCGTAAATACGTAAACTGACAAAAAACAATACTTAAATCCCATTTCCACTAAGAGACTAGACGCACGACAGTCGCACGACTAGGCTATAAGTGGAAATGAGCACTTACTATGAGTTTCAGAGGGCAAAATCTCTGTATTAAAACATATTTTATCTCTGTTTTTTTTCAAAGATAATGACAGGGAAGACGATATGTTTTATATAGAGTATTTGGTCTCAGAAACCCACTGTTAATCATCGCAAATTGTTATCGGTTGTTCATTCACTAAGAAAAGTAGTATATTTTTTAAACTTTAATGATTTTCTTAGTAACTAATACATACCAATAACATGTTATAATTTTAAATATTTTGAAGTTTACGTTTTTATACTATGGACATGAAGAAAAGAATATTTCATTCTAATAATAAATTTAAAATGTCATACACATTTCTTACTTATATTATAAATGCGAAAACATGAATGGATGGATGTCTCTCCAGAACGGCTGCATAGATCTCGATGAAATTTGACACATATATAGAACATAGTCTGGAAGAACTCATAGACAAGTTACTTAGTTTTTTTTTTATTAAATTAAAGTACTGGCTGTTAAATAATATTATTTAGACAATTATGAGTAATTTTCATCAAAGCATTTCTTTTATGATCTTTAAGAATGTATAATTTATTTTAAATGCCAATATCAATCCAAAAAAAAAAATCTTCATGTCCATAGTAAATATTATCTACATATATAAATATGAATTAAATAAGAATTTAAATATATAGGTCGCCCTTTTAATATATACGAAAGAGAATTATCTAATCATACATAACATATTTAAACATTTTTTTAAATGGTACAATTTAATTACACATAAGAATTTTTTTTTATTTACTGACCTAAAATATTATAGTAACATTATAACATAACTGTCTCCAACATAACATGAAATTTCATCATTTATGTTCAACATAAACGCAACATTATATAATATAATCAAAGCGCCATCTATATATTTAAATGTGCAACATGGGGGTCTTACGTGTGATTGTTCCTGCGTCGTCGCCTGCATCAGCTGCGCTTGTGGTTGTCTCCGGCAGCCAGCGGAGCCCCGGCCTTCGCCCTCGCCCGCGCCCGCGCCTGCGCCCTCGCCTGCGCCGCCCCCACGAACACCTTCACCGCGCCCGCAGACATCAGGTAGAACCAGTACAGTTGTGGCAGAAGTAGAATACAGATGGATATCTTGCAGCCGGTGGGAAGAGATTTAATAGCCTGCAATTTAAAACATATTCTATTAAAAATAAAAATAATATTTTTAATTTTTTTTACGTTTGATAAGCCAGCGCTTGGCCACGATCCCACCTGGTGTTAGTGAAGATTTGGTCGAAAGATGGTACACGCTAGCTTAGTAAGTGCCTATTCACTCTACTTTTTTTTATTTAATACTGTTAGGAAAAAAATTCGAAAATATTGCAGTGTATTGACCCAACAATGGCTTTACTAAAATGTCGACGTTTATGTCACTAATCATTCTGACACTGGACTTTGTAACGAAAGCACGTCATTCGCGTTAAATGATTCTAACTAATACTGTCTAAAAATACTAACATTCATTTAACTGCGGTAAGAAAATTATATAAGACAATTTTGTTGCTTACAATATTACGATATAAAATGTGTACATTTTTATTAAAAAAAAATTAGTACTGTAGTTCCGTTGTTTTTTTTTATAAGAATGTCACTATTATAACATTACTAGCTGTCGCCCGCGACTTCGTCATTCGAAAAAGAGATAATAGCTGATTCTCAGACTTACTAAATATGCATATAAAAGCGTTAAGGACTAGTATGCTAACTAACATTGTGATACGAGAATTTTATATAAAAGATATTTCATATTTTATTATAATTAGTATAGTAAAAATTAAAAAAAAACATATAAAAAACAATTAATATTCTTATATTTTAGTATTTTATTTAGGTATATTTCATACAAACTTATTTGTAACCTGTTTTGTAATTGACTAAGGTACGATCTTAAAAAAACTCACCTCAAAATAGGGCAATCCAATAACTCGACTGTACATAAGACAGACATAAGGCAGACTGAGGACTCGACATACGAAGAATGTCGCCAACATGGCGAGGCCGTTCAGAAGATAGGCGCGGGAGGACTTGAGTCCCAACCGAGAGAGAATACCACGGAGAGACACGAAAGGAGTCGATAACTCCATCAGATAGACAAATCCGAATACACAGTCACCCAATCCACCACGTAGATACTGGAAATATAACAAAGTTTATAAAAACCAAAGACAACTACTAAAATAAAATTGACTAAGACCTCTTTCCAGCTAAATGTTGGTTTCTCAGATCAAAATCTTGTAAAAAAAAACACATTATTCCTATATGTATTGTACTGATATTTTGGTCTCAAAAACCCACGGTAATTGTTTTCGTTTCACTTAGTGGAAATGGGGTCTAGATAATGGGTAAAATAGTGATGCAAATTACCTGTAATACTTTAATTTTTTCAACCTTTTTACTTACTTAAATATTTACTTGATGAGTTTTTGATCATATTGACCATACATTTTAAAGGATATAAAAAATATCAACTTACAACAATAACAAGGAATCCAAAACCACCTATAAAAAGATGATGGAAAAGTATAACAGGTTCGTGACGACAATAAGAGAAGAAAGAGATTGTATTAACTCCTTCTCCCAAACAATCCCCACACGCGGCACATTTAGGACCTCGTTTAGGTTTCTTAGGACCCATACATCCAACTTCATCTAAAGAAGTAGCAGTCAAAGCATCAGAACCTTCGAAGTTCTTAGGAGCATCTGAGCCTTCTACACTCTTTGGGGTTTCGTTTGAAGATTTCACTTTATCGTTTGTTGACTTGCTCTTTGAAAAACCCATTTGTCGTACGTGTACCTGTAACAGAGTAAAAAAAATTTTATACAAACACTAGTTGTCGCCCGTGACTCCGTCTGCGCGTAATTTTAAAAAAATAGTAGCCTATGTGTTCTTCTAGACTATGTTCTATATGTGTGCCAAATTTCATCGATATCTATGAAGCCGTTCTGGAGATACCTTCAAACATCCATCCATCCATATAAAAATACGCATTTATAATATTAGTAAGATTTAAGACCTATAAAATCAAAGGTTAAACGCCTTAATGTCGTCAAATGCGAGAACTATGGCGCCCTCTAGTTTGTTGGACACGCTTTAGTGTTTTCTTTTAATAACAAATAGTTAAATCGCACACAGTGGCATTGAAAGTGTTAAATGCCAGTTATTATCCTAAGAAAATAGTTGTCTGTTTGATCTTAATCTTAGTCTACACTACCGAAACATTCACATAAGTATAGATATGTTCGTTGTTTTTGAAAGAAGAGAGAGAGAGATATAAAAACAAGTAAAAATCATGCATATTTATGAATGCTAATTATATATATATATTCATATTATCTTTAGTAAAACCAGTAAAAGAGAGTAATTAATGGTTATTTTATAATCTAGACGCAATTAAACACATTCTATAGCGCTTCACCTAGTAACAAAACGAGTGTAGTAGTGGGAGAAAAGACATCAGAAAAATCGTAGCATGTAACGTGTTAAAAACAATACTAGTAATAAATCTTACCAAATACATAGACCAGATATCATAGAAGAAGTATGCAGCTCCGAACCACGCGTACGCTTCAGACATGAAGTGAGAGGAGCGCATGAAATCCCGCGTACAAGACCACAGACACACCACAGCGCCTGTCACACATGACAGCGCCGCCTGCACCGCCGATACCAACCTAACGAAACAATTTTTTATATACAGAAGTAGCGCGTATTTTTAAGTAATTTGACACAAATCGATAGCTCAATATTGGATATACTGCATGCGTTTGACATATCTATTTTTTTCCATAAATCAGCTGCAAACTTTGTTGGATGATTTTTTTTTTATTTATTAGGCTAGGCAAAGTGCATTCGCTCCGAACGATTCCGTAACGAAATTCAAAAATGTATAGAACTGAGAATAACTTTTGCTGCCACGTGATCATCGCGCATCAGTTCTATACATTTGAAGTTCGCTATGGAATCTGTTTGAAGCACTTTGTCTAGCCTCTTTGATCCGGTTAAAGGTCTGCAATTGTGGTTACTTTAGTCAGGAAATATGTATAACGTAGTTAGTTCCAAGTTACAGTAAAACCAGCATTTATTTTTGCTGAATAAGCAACGTATTAAAATTATTTCATCTACAAAAAAAACGTCCTCCATATTTCCTACGAAGTTTCCACTGATATGACCACAGTAGACGTGCTAGTGGAAAAGGGGTTTTAGAATCATATTACAAACTTGTTATTAATATCGAGGACGTCGCCGCAATTCAGGCGGTACTTGTGCCGCAGCCGGGAGCCCGAAGTGGTGAACAGCGCCGCGAACGTGAATAACTCGAACAGAGACATGAAGTAGACGAATCCTAGAGCTGTCAGCGCGCAACCACGCTTCACCGATATCCTGTTAAAAGACAAGAATATAATTTTTTTAGTCTTTCAAACATGTGCTTACCCTTTTTTTTAAGAGGGGGAATGCGTTACGCATACCGGGTGCCTCGGGGAAAGCCACTGCGGTATGTGGGACTCTTTACCCTAACGATGACTAGTCCTTGACATTCACGCTGGCTCAGTTTTACTATGCACATCTCTGATTTTTCAGATATTTTCATGTTACAGCTAAATAAAAACTTTAACAAAATTGCTTTATTATTGTTTTTACTAGTTAGTTTATGCATAAGGATCAGTATTGTTTTGTTATAAACTAGAGTCAGCTCTGACTGTCATATTTTTTATATTAATTTACGTAACTAGTAGTTTAATTCACGACTTCGAAAAAAAAACTAAACGCTATGATACGGTATTCTATATGTGTCAAATTTTATACAGATCCCGATCAGCCGTTTTTGAGTCACCATCTAACAAACATACTATATTATAGAACTATTTAAACTTTCACATTTATAATATTATTCGAATAGATATAAAATTATAGGAGTATTAAATTAAGACACTTATTGTATAGCGAAGTTTAATCTCATAACTTGTTTTTTCCTTGTGTTAAATCCACGTTATCGCTTACAACGCTTTAATTTGTTTACACATCTTTTAAGCGATCATCTGATAACAAAGTGTTTGCTTTGTATGCGATGTTCTTACTACTACTTATATACTATATAGTTCTAAGTACCTACTATATATACTTTGACCGCGAGGAATTAAAAAAAAAAAATAATAGCCTATGTGTTCTTCCAGACTATGTTCTAAACCAGTCTTTCCCAAAGTGGGCGATAACGCCCCCTTGTGGGCGCTGCAGGTTTTAAGTTGCGAGTTATAGTAAAAGTTTCATTTAGAATTCTCCGTTAACATACATAGGTCACAATAATTAATTAATTTAATTTGAAGTTATAGCGGTTTTTAAATATGTGAAAATATGGGGATCTAAAAAAATATTTATTCTCAAAGTGGGCAGTAGACAAAAGAAGTTTGGGAACCACTGTTCTAAACAGATGCCAAATTTCATCAAGATATTGATCCATACATCCAAACATTCGCATTCATATTACTAGTAAAAAGCAAGATTATTTTCAACGAACGATGAACGCAGAACGGCTAAATGATCTGGATGAAGTTTTTTTTTAATCCTTGCGTCAAATCGCGAGCTACAGCCAGCCAGTAACAATATAATTTCACAACGTTCAAAGAACACGAGAATGATGCTACACCAAAAGTGAAATCATACAAAGAAATCAGTCAAAATGTATTCAACACGATTTATTTTCATTATATAAACGTGGTGATTACATCAATAAATTATATAAGAATGTAAGATTTACATAACTCGACATCCGCGACTACGAGTAGCATAAGTTCAATAAATTTCAATCACCATATCAAATACAATTTGCACCGAACTAGTGGAACCAGCTATAATACATATTACAAGGGCAATGTATGACGAATACATAATATTCTTAGTGCAAGTAAAATACATAACGATCATGTGAAAATGTTATGTACTTATTGTACATAACATTTTCACATGATCGTTATATACTAACAATGACAATAATGTACTTCTAATTAGCTTATTCCTTAATGTAGTCTCATATAAAAGTTCTAGATGAATCTCCTCCTCAGTACATAGGTCGTGTGGTCACCTGTATCTATCTAATATAATAGGCAGGGCCGATTTTAGCAGTCCGGCGCCCTGGGCGATATTTTTGCAAAGATAGGATATCTTAGTGGGCACCGCAGGCACAAAGGGGCGCCTGCAGTGTTCCTTACGCACGCCGTCCTGGGCGTTCGCCCCACCTCGCCCTACGCTAACGCCGCTACTGATAATAGGAACCCTACACCAGCTTTTAATTGACAATTTTCAAAATGAAACGCAAATAACAATTTAAGACTATCTGTGAGGTTGTGGTTTGAGGTTTGTGAGGTCATGAATTTCACCACTACAAGAAGTAGCAAGCTCTATTATTATAAGGTCTTGGTTAGTCACCTGTCTTCAGGGTCGAGGGTGAGTACGAGGTTGACTGCGGCTGCGAAGGTGCCAGCGTTCACCGCACCAAGCACACACAGCTTGGCGCGTCGGTAACGAGACTGTAAACAATAAATTTTAAAACACTTTTAAATTTTATAGAAAACATACCTTCTTAAAATCAATAAAGTTTACGAATTCGAACAATAGCAAGACTATTGCTTATCAGGTTACATTTCTATCGAACGCCAGCTGTTGTCCGCAACTTCGTCAGGTGATGCTTCAAAAGTCCCATAAAAATCGATCCAGCTGTTTCGGATATTACTCGGAATAAACGCGGACTTCCGGTCCAACGGCCATACAAACAATTTCAAAAATTTATTTGCTCTGAATAGATATGTATATCAAAACTGTTCTTAAACTGCGGTAAATTAGTTTTCCTTTCGTAATTAAAAAACATGTTATAACTACTACTTTCCAATAATAGAATTGAATTGTAAGAGCAAAAGTCGTTGGGACTGTATTCTTCTCGCTTATAAGTATCTCCCGAACCTGCGTTTCTCCCTTATGGACATTGTTCATCCGCAGCAAATAATTATTTGCATATAGAGGTTAATAACTTATCCAGGTTTAAATATGTTGTATGTGTAATTCTTTGATAAAATAATATAATGTTAAACAACATAATGTTGGAACATTATCACTACTTATTATAGCATGTAATTATTTAGTCCATGACCTTCTCATTAAAATGCTTAAGTTTTATCAAAAAGGTATAAATGTATGCTAATTATTTTGCCATACATAAGGTTTGTTCAAAACGAAATAATTACACAACCATTATTGTACATACAAATATTTAATTTAATTTAAAGTAGACGTTGCCCGCTACTAAGTTTGCATGAGATTATTATAAAAAAACTTAATTAATAACCTATGCCTTCATCCAGACTATGTTCTACATCTGTGCCAAATTTCAGCGAAATCCATGTAGCGTTTTGGAGATAACTTCAAACAAACATCCATCGATCCATTCAAATATTCACATTTATATTATTATAAGATACAAACATAACTTATTTTTTAGATGTTAATTAAAAAGTAAAGTAGAATATCTGATTTTGAAAGAAGTTTCTGTATAGATGAGTAACATATACTTTTTCAATTAAACATTGTAATTACATGTTTATAATTATGTATGTAGTTGTTTTTTACTATGTTGTGACTTACTTGACGTCATGGCCAAGTTTTTAATTAAATTTTTTTATTAAGTTATTTCTTGTAACTGGCAGCATGTTATGTTAGTCGTATTTATTTTTCAATAATTGACTTGTCCAGACTTGTTGGTCAGATTTCCATGTTAGTCTATATAATTTCAGACTTAAGTTGTCAATAAAAATTTTACAGCATAAAAAGTTTTCCATTAAATGTCTTTCTCCCCATGTAGTCAAGGTGGGAGCAAGGTGAAAAGATATTTGATAGATAGATTATCAGTACATTATTGGACCACAGTGAGTAGATAGCGTAGTCTTTGTTTATACATCTTTATCAATATTTACTTTTGCATTGTGTTTTTTTTTTGTAGTGCAATGGCAAATGTGCAAACAGCCAATTGATATTTGATATCAATGCATGTGGACATCTGCATTTTATAAAAAAGTTGAAGAAAGGCATCTTTAATATATAGAAGGAAATACTAAAAGATTTACTGGGGTTTTTTTTAGTAGAATGACTAATAAACAGTATGATATGACAAAAACAGCAATAACAGATTTAAGTATGGAAATTTTAGCTTGGAATATGAACTTCGTTAGTGTAATTTATTATATAATATTTTTTTCGATTTAGACTGCTTTAGGTTCTATCATTAAGTTTTGTTATGCTATAAGTAAAAATACTGTGATTAAATAATTAGTTATAATTAGTTGCTAAAATATTAGCAAAACCAGTTATTAGAAAATAAAATAAAACACAAGCTTAACACATCATGCAGAAATACTTCGATCTTTTTTGTTTAATAATTATAACAATATTTTTTACTTTTTCAAGATACATCAAAATAAAACTATTAAAAGATCTTACCTTACTCATTGGTGGATCCATCACAATAATAATATGAAACCACTTTTAATTTAACATTATAAATAATACTTGTACAAATGTTCGAAAATCACACCTACAAATATACTCAAATCATCAATCACCGCAAAAAAATTATTTTGCGAAACGAAAACGAAATTGAACGAATTGTCAAATGTAAATGTCAAGATATTTGCACAAACACACTTGCACAAAGAGTATATATACGGATTTTTTTTAATTTTATGATCTGGTAACATAGACCTTTCGGTCAAGATATATGGTATTTTATATACTCTTTGATATATGGATATTCCACCAACAGCCAATGAGTATATTGCCAACAGCCAACGTTTTTAAAAATTGGGAATTTAATAAAATTTTATATTGGATTCATTTAACAATTTATTTCAAGTTAAACTTAAAAGTGGACATTGTTGACACCTTAATTCAAACGTTCGGAGGAATTTTTCATGAGTTAATATGTTCATCAAATCATGGATTTCTTCCATTTACAAGCTCAAATAGTTTCAATTTCAGAGACCGTTTAAATCTTTTGGAGGTAGTGAAGACATTATTGTATATTAAAATACCTAATTACCCACTTGAACTTCATACACTCGTGTTAACTTCCGATGCAATTATTTTTAGTGAGATTTAAATGAATATTACCATGAAAGAAACTGAAAAAATGGACGTTGACAACGTAAGTACCCGCATGCTTAATAATTGTTATCTTTTCGGTAATGTACAGTATGTATAATAGTATATTTCTCGTAACATTTACAGAAAATGAAAGAAGTTTCAAAGCTCCTTTACCACTGTTACGTTTATACATACAATCTTGATGATTTTAAAACGGTTTTGCAAAATTTGGAATTTAATTTACCGCCTTTTTATCTATAATGTCTTATAAATTAAATTATTTTGATATTACATTATAATTTAATATTTTTCAGGAAATACGAAGACACAATAGTTTTACTAGTCCTGGTACTAGGCGAGCACCTGTATCAAAAAGAGCTGGGAGAGAAAGATGTCACAGTTATCATGCACAAGTTTTTAATTCATTTGATTCTTCAGACAAGAAAATATCTATTGCGAATCCCAATCCCAAGGCAAGTGAAAAAGTGTGAAATGAACGTTAATTTTGAACGCTGTCGTTACTGCATCTTTGACATTTAAAAAAATGCGTTCATTAATATAATTGTAAAATTTAAATTATATGATTTAAAATTTTACTTATAGTCTTAATATTTATGTTATAAAATATGTATAAACCTAATAAAGCACTATAAACTACAATAAAAGCTCATTACGCTTTTATTGAGTTGTTTAGTTCAGAACTGTACCAGCAAATGCAGTAGATGTAGGCATTACCAAATATGGAGTTCGCTCGTTTTCCCAACCGTCCTCCCTTCGAACCCTAGTAGCTCTCAAATTTATTTTCTATTAAATATCGAGTTATATTCAAATGTTTTCATTGAACTGTTTGGTGTAAATATTATAATTTCTTCTTTTATTTAAAAGTGAGTTCATATTATTGTTATTTAAACGAATGTCAATATAGGTCAAAATATATGTGCGTTTAGGTTATGTTTTAGGTGGATAACTTAAATAATTCATAATTTAGTTTGTGGTGTTGTTAAACGTTAGGACTTTTGTTTTGCAGATGTCGTTTAGGGTGGTCCGTAGTTCTAAATTCCGCCACGTGTATGGCCAAGCCCTGAAAAGGGAACAGTGTTACGATAACATCAGAGTGTCCAAAAGTTCATGGGATTCTACTTTTTGTGCCGTGAATCCAAAGTTCCTGGCCATCATAGTAGAATCTGCTGGTGGAGGCGCTTTCATTGTTCTACCACATAACAAGGTATGTAAGATTTTAAATTCTTTAAATTTTATTCGAAATATTATAGCAAGTTTTTGTGTTTCTACATGGACATTCAAAATTTCATAAACTTTAATTACTTTGTATTATTTAAATAAATTCTATTATTTCAATGTAAAAGGTTATTGGCAAAACTGAAACAAAGTTACTTTAGTAATTCATCTAATTTGAAAATCCTTTATTTTTAAATCTTTAAGATTTGATTGACATAATTTATGTGATATTAATTATTTTTGGGGTACAATTTGTCACCACAAACATTATTAAGTATAATTTTTGTGTTTATTTAATTTACTGCATACTAATTTGTCGTTTTGAATTTAAATATTTTTTTAAAATCATAAACATGTGTAAACATTTGTTTTAGTGAATTTATTAAAAAGTCTGTGTGATAGCAGTAGTAGTAGATCAACGATTTCCGCTATTTCACTCTACTTATTTGAAAATCTTGGAAGAAGTATTTGTTAGTTACAAGTAGTAAATATTACAAGTAAAATAAATTTAAAATTGCACTATAGAACCTTAAATTGGCATTTTTTTTCTAAACTTAATTGGTAAAAAGTTAAATTATTATGGATGACTATTTTAATGTAAGAATAATTTAACTATGAATAACGCTACACATCCTCATACAGTGAGAAGCAGTTTTTTGATGTATTATTCTAAGTCACGTTTTCTTTTTATCATTATTTCTTAGTAATCTTAAAAGTTATTGAATACCTACAAGTCAGTTGATATTTGGTGAATGAACTTTAATAATGTGAATCATGAAACTTGAGTAATTAACCGATAAAGAACTATTGGATGCTTATACAGAATTAAAATATCTTTTTATTTCTTACTTGCTTGCCCTTTATTACAATCACTAACCTCTGTATATGGACAGGCTATAAGTCATGGTATTTTGTGCCTATTTGATATTCGCCATTTTGGTACTGACAATAACGGTTGATAGTGGTGATGATTCAAACTAATAATAGAAATAGAATATGCCATTAATAACATCATTAGGCATATTTCAGTTGGAATAAAGCAAAAGCTATCATTTCGAAGTAACAACCTATCTGTAAAGAGAGATCAGAGGTTGCAATGCTCTCAAAATAATGACAGTACAATCAAAATGAATGTTAAAACTGAAAAACAATGTTTTTTATAGGCCCTGACTGATATGAAATCTTAGTTCTTACAAATATTATAAATGTGAAAGATTGGATTCATGGATGGATGGATGTTAGTTAGTAGGTATCATGAACGGTACCAAATTCTTAGTGAACAATTTTAGTATTTAACAGCATTTAATTGGTGATGTTTTACTGTTTTTACTCTGTCACTAAAATTATAAATGTGATTGTTTAGAGGGTGGATGGATGGATGTTTGTTGTGATAGAATGGCTGAACAAATCTCAATGAAATTTGGCATAGATGTAGAACAAAGTCTTGAAGAACACATAAGCTAAGTTTTTTATTCCGCGTGGACGGAGCCTCCGGCGAGAGTTATTACAGCTACAAGTAATATAACATAGCTTTTAGGAATGTTTTGTTTATTTTTCTGTAAACTAATCTCGACCTTCAGAACGTAAATTAAGTGTTTAAACATTATCAGAGTTTGTTGTCAGGAAAGTTATTGTTATGTGTAATGCATTGGTATTTTTTTATCTTCACATTTATCAGTAATAGAACGAAGCTAATGTGTCATGTATTCCGGTACCGAATTACCCAATCGTTCATATATTATCTGTGATGCATTTGAAGGAAACTTTTTTTTAACAGCGGAACAATGCGACGAAGCCTCGTATGTGATAGGGCATTGTACAACTGATAGGGAACAATAGCTCGATGACAATGGAAGTACCAACAATGTTTACTAACTTTTTGTCGAGATTCTTATGTTGTTACTACATTGGAATGCAAACGAAGGTGCCCCCGGGTATTTTTAAGTGTTTCCTTTCCCGCGCTTTTTGTGGAACGACGGTTATGCATTTCAAATGATACGAATTAGTAATTGTTTTGGGCACACTAAATTATAATTTTCGATGAATGATACTAATGAACGATGAATGTAAAGTAAATTAACGTTACGTAAAAATATCTAAAAATACCTTAAAATGCTGTCAGGCAAGTAAAAAATGAAATTATCTAAACAAGCTAAGTGGCTTGGAATTAAAACTAGAAAGTGTCAAGTAAATGTAAGCCTTAACATGTTATGACATCTGTCAGCGTAATGTTATTATGATGAATCAAGAAATTGGATACCAGATTATATAATTAGCATGACAAATCTCTTAATAATTTTACGACTCAGTAGGTAATTAGTTTCATATTCACGATTAACAGTCGCCCGCAAGTCTGCACAGAAGAAACTAGCCTTTAATATCGTAGTATACATCAGCTGCCTTCCAGTCAAAATCGCGAAAAAATCCGAAGATTTTACAGACCAAAACCGCCTTGCGGACGTGCACAATAAAATAGAAAAAATATTGATTTTCGTTATGTTATAACGCTTAACGCTTAAAGCAACGTAAATACATCATGTTGGCGAATGTTAATTTTTTTTCGGTGTTACATACATACACTCCAATTTCATTACTTATATAGATAGATGATTATGTATGTCCGTTCTGCTATGACACCTGCAGTCAGCTTAATCGATTTTAATGGTGACGCGTGTCATTGAATAATGGTGTCGGTTGATATTATTCGTTGTAGTGGACGAATAAATTATTTAACGCTTTTATAAAACAATATTAGAATGCCCTTAACTCATTGCGTAAATTATTATGAGAAATTTAAATATAATACATTAAAATCTGCGTGTCCATACCAATTTTTTTTAAATCTTCTTTTTTAATAGTAGAAATATTCGAAGGTATACTATAAATATAGAACAGCCTCATGGATCTCGCTTAAATGTGACATAGATGTAGAACATAGTCTGGAAGAACACAAAGACTACAAATTAAGTTTTTTTTTAAATTTCGTACGTAGTCGCAGGCGATAGTTAATCATTTTATAGTTTGTTTGCAAAACATGTTATTCTGTAATACAGCTGATAAAACAATGTTTTCCAATTAATTTGTTTGTTGTAATAAGGAAAACTTTGGTAAACAGCTATCAGCCACAAACTTGAGCCTTGCGACGATCAACTATTGTGGGTCAAGTTCATTAGATTCAGTAAATTACTGTATAAAGTGTTGCGTAGAATTACATCTCGCCGTGTGCCGAAATAGATTTCAAGGCGCGGTGTATACTTAGGCATCCTACAACTGAAAATATCCTGGCTGTATAACG